TATATATATATATATATATATATATATATATGTATTTATTATAAAGTCGACTGAACTTATTGTCAAATATAAGAAACTGAAAAGAATATACATAAAGATTCAATTATTGCTGCTGTTGACTTTTTGTAGTTTTGGTCATCGGTAGTCATTTCAGTGATCGTCAAGTGTTATAGAAGTAACGTTATTTTTTTTTTTCGAGGTGTTGCGGTTATTTGGATACCAGTATGGTGGTTCAGATTTATGGTTCAATGTGTTGCTGAAGTAGGGGAAAAGAAAAGAAGTTTAGTCATAAATTTGAAAGTCGTTATTGCAGAATTGAAAAGTGGAATAAGGGAGAAGGTGAGAGAAGGCAAAAAAAAAAAAAAGTGGAGGGGGTGATGGTGGTGATGGATAACAGTATCGTTGAGAATCAACAAATTATATTTTGTTAATGCTGAAAAAAGAAGAGCTTTCCCTAAATATCAAAGAAGACATTTGGTTTGTTGAATGATCAGATTTTAAAGTTTTAAACTGATTGCTATTTTGTGGGAACATTTTTAGTTTATTTATTTATTCAGTTCTTTTTTTCTTATTGTTAAGATTATTATATGTTTTTGAATATTAGTGATTGGCATCTGTGCGAATGAATCAATTTTTGTTTCATTTTTTATTTACTTTTTTATTTTTCTTTTTTCCATACATGCATATGTAAATATATCAAATAGTTGCAGGTAATCCCTTGTTGCTTTTCTTATTGATGCCAATAAATGAATAGGATGTTGAATTAAAGGTTGCAGGGCAAAAGAAAATAATTGACAGTTGTTTTAGGTGCTGTTTTTTTTCTTATTTTTACTAAAAGTTGTCAACTGAACAACAAAAAAGTTTTCATCCAATACCAGGAAAGTGAATAAAGCAGTAGCATAAGTTTGAGGTTGGTGAAAAATAGAACAAAGCTTGTTGAATGTCTGTTCACATCGATCTATGTATCGTACCGTCGTGTCCCTCGTTGCCATCGTTGTTGTTGGTTACTTGTTAAGAAGAAATCGCTAAACAAATGTCATTGTTCATCGGAGTAAAAAGAGAAGAAAAAGGAGAGAAAAAAACTTAAATCAATTATGATATTCAATGATGGAAAGTTTACTGCAG